CCCCTCGAGAGGGCGCTGCAGGCTCAGCCCTACGCCTGACTGGCGAGTCCCTGACTCCACAAGCTCGTGAGCTTGTTGCGCCTGTTTTTTATCATCAGATCAATGGGAAAAAAAAAAAAGAGAAAACCAAACCGCAAACAGAACAGTTTAATTGGACTTCTAAAATTAGGTTTAGCGAAATACACAAAATTGTATTAGCAAGACGGTATTGAGGGGAAGACGCACAGTTTAATTTCATTTCTTCCTTTGGTCTTTGCGGCACCAAGGACTGCAAGGAGAAGCTGCTCTGACAACCCCAGCTTTTATGTTAAGCACATGTCTGGGTTTGAGCAGCATCACTAGCTTGAAGAGGAGAAATATGCTGTGTAAACTCACATCAGTTGAGGAGCATTGCTACTTTGGGAAGACCATGACTCCATCATGACTGCCAGTGACATTTCATTTCTGTCACAACAGCAGATTGTGTGTTTGCCACATTCGGCTTTACTAGACCAAGCATTCCTTCCATCTACTGTCCAGTTATTAAAAACATGGTATTCCAGTCATCCTTAAAGAACTGCCTTCAGCTATCCTGCATCCTCAGGACTCCAAAAGCTGGCTTCAGAAGCAGTAGCGGAGGCCTCATTATCCAGTCTGTTTCTAATGATGTTTACCAAAATCTAGCTGTGGAAGACTGGATCCATGACCACATGAATTTAGAGAACCGTCAGGTCCTTTTCCTTTGGAGAAATTCCCCTGCTGTGGTAATAGGAAGACATCAGAATCCCTGGCAGGAATGCAACCTCAGGCTATTGAGGCAAAAAAACATAAAACTAGCCAGGAGAAGAAGCGGAGGAGGAACAGTTTACCATGACTTAGGTAATATAAATTTGACTTTCTTCACAACCAGAAAAAAATATGAACGAATGGAAAACCTGAAGCTAGTTGTGAAGGCACTGAAAGCCTTGCGCCCCCAGTTAGATGTACACGTCACTGACAGATATGACATCTTGCTAGACAGGCAATACAAAATCTCAGGTACTGCTGCAAAGCTGGGAAGGACAACTGCTTATCACCACTGTACCTTACTTTGTAACGCAGATAAGTTTGTTTTATCTTCTGTGCTAAAGAGTCCTTATAAAGGGCTAAAGAGCAATGCCACTCCTAGTGTGCCTGCCTCAGTGAAAAACCTCTTTGAAGAGGATCCTAGTTTAACTTGTGAGATGCTCCTGGATGCCATTGCTGAAGAATATGCTATACAACACCAAATAGATCATCAGATCACCTTAATAAATCCAGCTGATGAGACTGTGCTTCCTGGAATTAATAATAAAACTAAAGAACTACAAAATTGGGATTGGGTGTATGGAAAGACACCAAAGTTCAGCGTTAGCACTTGCTTTAACATAGCCTATAAAGATTCTGTTATTGACGTTAAAATAGATATGGATGTAAAGCATGGAAGGATTGAAGGCTGTAACATTGATCTGCCAGACCAGTGGCTGCCACTAGCACTGTGCAGTGAACTGGTGAAGAGCCTTACTGGCAGTAAGTTCTGCCCAAATGAAACCACTACACTAGCGACAACGTTACTGAGAGTGTGTCCACAAGATGATGACATGCACAGCAGGTGGAATCTGTTGTGTGAGAATATGATCATGTTAATGTGACTTGCATTTTGAAAATGTAAGTTAAACTTCTGCTGCTTTTTTATTTAATTTATAGAAAACAAAATTAAAACATTAATTTCTATAAACTGAATTTTTCTCTTACTGGTAATTTGAACTGTTTAATCTTGGCTTTTGCTTAATATTACCTACTAACAATTAGATTTCACACTGCCTGCACCCGAGGTTCCCAGACTGTAGGCTGCACGCCACTGCAGTAGGCTGCAGCCCTGTTATCACTCCATGCTGACAGACAGCACCCCTGCCCAAACCAGGGAAAATGGGGGCAGCATCCCAAACTGGCTCTCTAGCAGAGAAGGTGCAAATGGCTGACACAGATGGGATGGGGTAGATGGAAAAGTGAATTCCCCAGCCTGCATCCTGCTCCTTGCAGACAGTAGCTCAAAGGCCGTGTCTCAGCCCCTGAACTGTGTGGAGAGGGATGTCCCCCTGGTTTCTGGTGGCAAGTCCTTCCCTGGAGAGTGCTGATGAGCCTCTGCCTCCCCTGTGCAAGCATAGTAGTAAACTATGCTCATTGCTGTGTAGTGAATTAGTGGGGTGTATGTGATGAGGGCAAGACAGAGGCTGTATGTGGCTCTTTTGTACTGGCACTGCCTGGCAGAAAGCTGAGAGTCACTGTGGCTGTAGGTACTGGTATCGAAGCTGAAACTAGGAACACTTCTACATCAGGAAATATACTTGCAAATACAGATCTAGGAGAAACAGGTTCCTTTTTACTTTCCAGGAAAAAAAATTACTAATGAAAGGCAATACTGAAGATGACAGTTTTCATGTTAAGTAAAAATAATGGCTCGGTATAAAGTAACATTACGAAAGAAAGACTCAAGATGTCTTTCACTGTTGTTGACAAATAAGCGGAATGCAATTTTGATCAGGTCAGAACAGCAGCAGTTTATTGCTATAGCTGTAGGAAAGGACCCAGTGCAGCAGTGACAGACTCTGCTGATGTGTACTCTGACCAAATACGGCAGTTACAGAGTTTATATACCTTTATGCTATACAACTATTTCTTCACCAAACTGCCCTTGAACAGTAGAGTTAGTTAAATTTGAAATGGGAGGTTCATCAAGCAAAATAGCCATAAATTAACCCTGTCGAGGTGCGAGCACATCAAGGTAAATTCCATTGAGGGTACAATATATGGCACAACTCAATTTAAACAAATGTCTTTTCCCAGAAGGTTAACTGGGGTAGTAACACTTAAAAGGAAAGCATAGTATCCAGAAATAAGGCACAGACAAAGGGCTTGTTACCGGATGACATAGCAGTTATTCTTAAATATCAACATCATTTACTGCTTCAGAAGATAAGGGAGCTGCAGGAAAATTAGAGGGGCATAAAGTGGATTGAGAAATGCCAGTATCGGTGAGGCAAGGAACAGTCTTGCTGTTAATAGTGCAAAATAAATAAGGACCAGTCTGGCCTAAAGAAAGGAAAGGAACAATGATATATTTATGTCCTTGGGGCTGTCCTGATCACATTTCTCAGGCCATGGCATGAAAAAAAGTTGGGTGGGAAGTTAGGGTGACTGAATGCTGCTGGACTTTAAAAGACTTACAGTTAGGTCTGTATGGATGTTCTGACTTCCAGTGCCCTTGTTGTCCATACAGACAACCCTCAGCTGAAGCTCCATTAGGGATTTCAAAAGGTGCCTTACCTTTCCAAGAGGCACCAAGGGGGTTTCAGCAGGGATCAGTCTGTGGTGTTCCCAGGCGAAGCAGGATGTGTGAATCCAAGTCACAGCACCAAATTCTGTCGTGGAATAACTGGAATGCAATTTTGATCAGGTCAGAACAGCAGCAGTTTATTACTATAGGAGAGAACACAGAGCAGTGGAGAGATGGCCTCTGCTGAGATTAACTCTGCCCAGTTACAGAGTTTACATACTGCTAAGTGATACAGTTCATTCTTAACCAAGCTGTCAGATAAGCAGGATGTGATAACAGCAGTGACTGAAATTCTTCAAATAAGGAGGTTCTAGACAGATTAGGAAGCCCTAGGCATTACATCCTTTTATGAATACTTCAGTCCTTTGCTAATTAAATTGTGCAGACAAGACTGATAGCTGCAAATATTTCCTAACAAGTGAGGCCTGCAAAGGCCTATGAGGTGTTACTATATTACCTGCACACTCATTTTTGAAAGATGGCTGTTTGGCCAGCACTCCATAGGAGGAAATTACGTGGCAGAAGAAACCTAGCTTTAGCTAAGGAGGGGTGTCAGTGGGGGTGAATCCAGCCCCTGGGACTGGCACTCACGCTACAGGACTGAACAGGACTCAGCTGACTCCAGTGGGGAAGGCAGCTTAAGCTCATGTCCACAGAGAGTGCCAGGAGGGAGCAGTGTCCTGGCTTAAAACCCAGGTGACCTGACTATATAAGTGGGAGTGGCAGCACAGAACATGGCCTGGAATCAGTAAAATGATTGTGGAACTGTACTCTTAAGATTTCTCTGGTTTTTTTTAATTTTTTTTCCATTCACTGATGCCCATTCCACTTCATACATGGTGTTCCTACTGACAATGAAATGACCTATTCAGAGATAAAGGGTTTATAGGAGAAAATTGCAGTGCAGTGCCACCTGGTATATCACTAAAGGCTTACTTGTACACATGTATAGATAATGCATATCCTTGAGATCTGCTAGGAAATCTGTAGTCTTAACTAGTGAATTACAGTCTAATTAAACAGAGAAAAAGTTCAAGCCATGAACAGGCAAGAGGGAAGACCATGCTTCCCTCTTGTAGTTGCAGGGGACTACATCATAGAGGCTCACTACTACGAGAGGCATACTGTATTACAAGATGCAGAAAGCATAACAATTTTTGACTTCCGTTTAAGTACTAAAATTTATTGTTGGTCTAAAATCTTTAAGGTGGCTTTTTATTTTGCCCCTGTATGTTTGAAATTGCTGGACTAGGTTAAAAGATAAAAAGCTTCACATTTGGGAAGCTTACTCTATTTACAGTGAACCTGCTCCCCAAAATGGCTGATTTAGAAGGCATTACCTAGCTTCTTTGAATTACCCTATGTAGTACAGAGAATTCAAACAGATGACTAAAACTACAAATAATAAAAAATAACCTTTATTCCCAATAAAAATAGGCATACATTATATGCAACTGAACAAAACTGATGACAGTGACCAGAAACCTAGTATCACACCAGCAAGCCAGCGAGCTTCTGTGGAATGTCTGGGGGGCCTGACCGGTAGCATACAGCTTCTGTGGCATATATGTTACTCTTTTTGCTGATCTAACACTTAAAAGCTGAGGCATTATTATGCAAAAGGATAAAGAAGGCAGGCCACTGGCAAATTGTGACACAGAGAACAAACTAAACACCAGCTGTTTCTTCTCGATAGCTGTGGAATAGATTTGTTATGTTAATGGAAGACTAAAAGAATAGCAGCGTTAGGTGACAGAAGGTGAAAGAATAAAGCAAATAATAAAAAAAGGATAATGGAATACACCAGTCATCAGCAAAATAAACATAGGAAGGAGATAAGTCTCTAGCAATGAACACGCTACTAAAATATGGAGGTATACTGTATTACAAGATGCAGAAAATGTAAGGCACCTATCAGTCCTGTGGCTGAAAAAAATTTGATGGGACCTGCAAAAGAGGTTCATGTCAGAATATATGATTTTTCAGATTCTTGCTGACAATGGTCATGAACTTCTATACTAGGAGAAAAAGCAGCTTACATGATCCCTTTCGCTTTCCAGAGGATGAAGGGAACAAAAGGCTCTGTCTTTCTTCCAGTCAGCATATCCTTAGAATCATTATTAGCAAGAAAGTTTCAGGGTATCCAACTTCTGGAAGAATTTAAAAATTACTTTTTTTTTTTTTTTAGGGGAGTACCTTAATAGCAGGGAAATAGCTTACTGCAGTTCACACTGGCATGACTAGCTGGAAGAACATTAAACGTGCAAGTCAGGGAAAAATATTGGGAGAGGATCATACAACCTTTTCATGCCTAAAGCAAAGGATGAAAATGAGTTATATGACCATACATCACGGAATAAAAGAACATACAGGAGTGACAGGGAAAATAATAAACCTGTTTGCATCCTTTCCAGCCCCAAATTCATCATGCAGAGGCACATTAGACAACCCTAAAATGTCTGTATACTGAACACTACAATGTTCATATGCAAGGAACTTGGAAAATTGAATGTTACATTTGGGTTTACTAGTAAAGTCTGTGAAATCAGGTACTACAGGATTGACTAAAACAGCAGAACAGTAGTCATGACTAGAATACAGGAATTAAAGGAAATAAATGAGGCTGCTTACAAAAGAGGACATGAGGCAGCCCAGCTTCCAATGCTTGTGAGGTGGTCATTTATATAAAGAAAAAAAAATCTGCTCAAGACAAAGTTAATAGTAAAAATAGAAATTACAACAAAGAGGCCTCTGAGAGACAATATTGAGGGTCTGTTATGAAATCAAGATCAAATAGAGCCATGGACTGTATTAATTAAGATTATGGAAGAAGTACAGTGGAGGAATTGTACAGGTGTGTTTTCTCAGACTGAGAAGTCTCAAATATTCTTAAACCTATAGATTATAAAAGCTGTGCTGGACTTAGAAGAATTGCTTCTGAGGGTGGTCAGCTGGACTCAAGCAGCATCTTCTAGTCTCACATTTTTATGCTTATAAAATCAGTCATTAAAAGCAGTCATATCTGATCACATTTTCTTTGTATGTTTAGTATGAAAGACATCCACTGTTGTTTCATAACAAGGTCGCAAGTCAAAGTCACAGTATCCAATGCTGAAACGACCCTGCAGAAATTAACAGAATTGACATGGTGAACTTAGAATGAGCTCTTCTACAGTCTAAGTTAACTAGAGATCAAAGCATTCTTACCTTTGGTTTCTTAAAATAATCAAGACCCCTTCCAATCTTAATCATCCATCCATTGTTGAATCTGTTTTAAAAATTCAAAAATGTGAAAGCCATGAGTACACTGAATTAAAAAAAATAGTTCTATCCACATGAACACAAGCTCCTTGCTTCAATCAGTTATTTCCTAGTGTCACTGATATCTTTATGAACCATGGAAGACACTATTCTGTATAAAGAGACATCTAGTATGTTCACAGTTAGAACCCATGAAACTACAGAGCGCTGATTTTATTAAGTGAGGGCCACTGCCTTCCACTTTGTTAACCACAGCTGTAATCAGAAATTGTATCAAATGTTAGGGCTAAGCGGTGTGACTTCAAATAACTGGCATTCACTGGTTTTTTATTTCACCCACCTAATTTCTCGATCATGTATTGAAGATGAAAATTCAAAATTCAGTGTTACTCCATAGTTCCTCAATGATTGTTGTATTTCTTCCAAGCCATTTATCTGTTGAGTCCTCCCACTGCCCTGTTAAAAGCAAAAATAACATGGCAGGGTGTTTTTGTACTCTATATTGTACTTTTGGTCACTTCTTCCTAAATGCACCAACAAAACCTTCTTAGTAGTAACTTAAACTCAACGAAAGTCACTTGGATGAAGGTAGATTCACAGTTTTGAAGACAGGATAAAAAGAAGGCAGATTACAGGTACACCTTGTAAGGGATATGGAGGAGGAGCTCACTCTCAGCCCACTGAAACTAGGTATGTGTTATTATTTAAGCCAAAATAAATGCAACAATAGTTTGAGAGGTTTTAGCTCATCAAAACCTCTAAAATGACAACAATATACAGCTGCTGGAAGAGAAAAATATGTATCTCAACAGATTATTTGGTTCTGATGACATTTTCCACAGCAAAGCTTTCACCAAAATATCTTTTCCATTTAAGAGCCTGCTTACCAAGAATTCTTTCATTATCTGGAACTCTGAACTTATGAAATGATTTATGTTCAACTGTCACGTTTTTATTTTGCTCTTCGTCTGTGTTTTCTGCTGAAGGTGTCAGAGCCTCGGTCTTAACATGTACTGTTAAGTAAATCTATATTTAAAAATAAGTATGTATGCAAATAAAAATGTATTTGCATATGGTGTCACATGAGCACAAGGAAACAGAAACCAAAATCTAGTCACTTACTTCATCACAGGAAGTGAGAAGGTGGATTGTTTTCACTTTGCATGGTCCCTTAACCAGCATCTCGCAGAACCGTAGGAAGTTATACAACTGTAAAAAGTTTAATTTAGTAACATGGAATTCTTTTAGTAGTTACCTCTGTATCAGTTACACCGAATATCTACTTGCCTGATAAACACTCCTAATGTAGGGGTCCTCCACCCAAACTTCGGAAACAATCTCAGTAAGGTACTCTTGGAAAAGCTTTTCATAGCTGAAACCTGTTGCATTTTCCTCTATCCTGATTTGCTTATGGTATTTGCCGTCTGAAAAGATCATGATATAAATCCTAGGTTAACCGCCTCGCCCATAAAACACTCACATAACAACAGGTATTTAAATGTGAAGGGGTACATGGCAGCTCCGTACCTCGTTTCTCTTTTTCGACATGCTTTTTAATGTCTTCAGCCCTGGTCATGTACTCGGATATTTTCTGCCGGTAATGATGCTTTTTCGCCTCATCTTTCGTGGCTGTGAATCAAAAGCGCACAGGCCAGTTCTGCTGGCGGGGGCGGGGGAGCTGAGCCCTGCCTGGCCGCCGAGGAGGGACCGCCAGCTCTCCTCCCCCCCCCCATATCAGGCGACGGGGGGCCGGGGCCGGCCCTCGGCGGCAAGGGCGGGTCGTGTCTCCTCAAAACCACCCCCGGACTGCGGCCGTCCCCACAGCCGAGGGGTGTTTAACAGCTAATGGCCTCAAGGCCTGCAGTAAACGGCTGACAATCCGCCCCTCGCCCGCCCGCCGCCGCCGCCCGGTACCTTTCACCACCTGCAGCAGGAGGTCGATGCCCTCTTGGTAACACACCAGCGACTCCTGGAACCGAGACGCCAGGTCCAACTCCACCGCCCGCCTCACCGTCTCCGCCCCGGCCCGCTCCAGCGCGGCGGTGCCATCGCCCCCCGCCCGGGACATGGGCGCCGCGGCGGGG